TTTTAGATAATTTGTTCAAAGAGATTAAAAATAATTCAAAAAAACAATTGTAAGTAATCAGTATTTAATTAGCAAATAATAAAAATGTATTAATGTATAAAGGTATAATATTTTCATTTTGATTCTCATTAGCCTCAAAATGTATATTTGTTAATCAAATATTGATTACCTAAAACTACATTATTTTGATGCTACTTTTATTCTCAGTTTTAAAACTATAATATGTACATTTTAGTATTCATTATATAATAAGTTGCAATCTTTAAATATTTGATAAATTATTAGCCTCTAAAGAGTTATTTTACAAATAATAGTTAACTTTTTATATTCATTGATATATTTAATAGATTTCTCTTTAGTATTTTCTGATTAAGGTTTGCTTTTATTACAACTGGGATAAAGTATATAATCTGAATTGAACATAGCTTTACCTCCATCCTAGATACTGACTTAAAATGATGAATATTAAGCATTTATATTTGACTTGACCTATCAATGGAAATAGGAATCTTGTACTATGTTAGCTGAGTTTAGTTTCCATCATGGATGTAATTAATATTTTCAAGTGTTCAAAAGAGTTTCTTTGAAAAAAAAGGTGTAAATAATGATAGTTGTGGTACAATAATATACCAGTGTTTTTATAGTAACTGGTGAAGAGGTGGTTTTCTACCAAAATAGTATCTAAGAATTGCTATGAAAATATTGCTCATAGTCCATAGAATGTGAACAGATTTTCTTAAAAAGATAAATTGAATTTTAATTACCTACAAATATTATGACAAAATAATTGTCTTAACAGGTAATCTTTTTTTTTTTAGCTGTGTATCTCCTATTTAGCTATGTTCTTTAATTCAGTTGACAATTCATCAAAGAAATGTACACAAAATAATGAAGATTTGAAAATTGTGCATGACTTTGCCAATGACAATATAGGCTTGCTGGCAGTGGAGTTGAAGGAATTTGAGACTTTATGTGACACTCTTTCAACCAAGGTAATATATTGTTTTTTTTTGTTTTCACTAGTGTGATTTTAGGAAAACCTCATAAAATAAGGTTTAAGTTTTAACTTAATGGGAATAAACTATTATTAAAGATGTACTATATCATTTTTTAAGTAAATATCTTTAATTTTCATGTTAAAATTAAGTATTCTATACACTAACTATAAAATTAGAAATAAAATGAAAGAATCAACTTAAATTTTTCTTTGATTCTTGATGACATGTTCACACCTTTTCTCATTTTATAAACATTTATATTTCACAGGAATTTGTTAATGCCATAGTATTTTCTGATATGTCTCATGACTAATATAGTTGTATATTTTTTACCTGCCATAGAGGTTGGTGTTTAGGTCCAGATAAAAGTTATGATTCTGAATATTGATTTTCAGTGTAGGCAACTAGACTCTCTACCAAGAAGATTGGTGAAACACAATCTTTCTTTTCCTTTCAACAGGCCTTGTATCATACTAAGCAATGCTTACTGAATATAAATATCTTAATACCTTATTGTTTTAATAACCTGTGCAAATACTTAAGTTTTTCCTTTCTTTAAGAAAGAATATATAATTGCTTCTGATTATCAAATTTTGTACATTAGTGGACACTATGCAAAAAAAAAAAAATGATAAATAAATAAATAAAGCTTATTACATTTTTGAATTGTCTTTGTTTCTTGAAAATTTTCTTTATCCAGTTAATCAAACATTCAGAACTAGTTATGTTTAGGATATCTTGCTCAGAGTAAAAGTACTTTTTATTAAGTAATATTTATTCTGATTAGAATGATTTAAATTTTTAGCTTTGGCTTGTAATATATATATATATATATATATATATATATATATATATGCAGATGCATGCCAGTAATCCTCAATGGATATTTTTTTTAAATTGGTACCTTTTTAAACATTTATAAATGCATATTGATACATTTTTTTACAAATTTTTACTCTATCTCTTAAGTCTTTAGTCATGGTTGATACTGTTTTATACTTAATGCAAACTGAAAAATACTAAGAAAACGCCATGGAGAAGATAATACTACATTACCTTAAGTTTTATTCTCTAATTTGTGGTTTATTTTTAATTCAGCTTCTACAACTGAATGCAACCAATATTAAACATCATGAAAATCTGGAAGAAACAGTTTGGAAAATTTTAAGAAAATATTTTCTTCTTGAATCTGATGACAGCCAACAAATTAATCTTACCAGGTAAAATTTTGTACTCATTTTTTAAAAGCTCTCTTGTAGATGAAATAAGCTAATATAAAATTTTAGCTTTGTTTTTTTTTCTTTATCTTTAAAAGGAATAACCATACAGTAGCAAAGTTTTCTTAACTTGACTTATTAATTGCTCATATCACATAATTCTTTTTTTTATCTCTTGTAAACTATGTAACTTGTAATAAATTAATTTTTGTTAAAACTTTAAAAAGTTAGCAAACTGTCTTAAATTTATGTTTAGTAAACTTTATTCTTTCTTCAGTTAATTGTTGATATTTTCATTAAGATATCTAGAGAAATAATACTGCATCTTCAGTACTATTTTAATATTTTTTCTTGACATGAAATTTCTCTACTTGAAATATTTAAGAATGTTAATTATATTTTATAATGAATATTTATTTTTACATTCTACTTTATCCAGTAATATTTTTGTAGGAGTGTTTTTATTTTGAAATATTTTTATATTAGCACATTTGATAGTTTCAAATATATGAACAACAATCACATTGCTTTTTGATATTGCTTTACACTATTGATAAACCACTTTGTAATCAAATGTTTTAACTTTTCATTTTGCTGCAATTTGTCAATAGAGATTTAGAATCACTAGCCTTTAAAAATACTTTTAGTTTGACCAATTTTATTTTTGTAGACTACTGTAAAATTAATTTGTTCATTAGTTTTTATATAAATAAAAAATTTTACATTCTTTTCCAAGTGCATTAATCTAAAATCAGTTAAATTTGGTATGGAAGAAGACTAAAATTTAGCATACATTACCATAACCTCAGCTTTTCTTTATCATTGACTGGTAGAGTATGGAGTTTAAAGGTTGTGGAACAGAAATTTGTTGCATTAATTCAGGAATTAGTTAATAAATTGTTTTTTTAAATTTCTTTTCTGCCATTATTTTGGTACTTGATAAAAATAATGTACCTTATATATTCATGTATAATGTGACTTTTGAAAACCCAATTTTCAAGCTAATTTTAAGGGGTTCACATCATACATGAGATATAAAATTAGTGTATGTACTGCTGGCCCTGGCTATTCCATTGACCAAACTATATATCCATTTACTGTATTTAAAATAAACATCACATGTTACGGGTATATATAGTAACTAAGAACAAGGTTGTTGACGCTGGTATTACAATTAAAATAGGCAATAATAATTTAGGCATAATTTCTTTGAGAGATTTGTGTATGCCATACAGTGCTATTAGAGATATCAAAATCAAAGCAGTTCTGTAGGTTTAAACATTTTGATAATTGTTTATTTCTTATTGCAAATATTAAAATATTATATTTGTTAGATTATCAAATTATACTATACAGTGATCTAAATGCTAAGATGGTTACCAAATAGAGCAGAAAATTACTTCATTTGAATAACTTGGCAATTTAATTATAAAAGTAACCAGAAACATTGCTTATTTATAAAGATCAAAAAAGACAATATTAGAAATTAATATGTATATAAAAAAAATATATAATACACATGTGGTAGATGATATTTGATGTCATGGGTTTAAGTAATATTTATACATACAAAGATGGACAGGCAACCAAGAATTAATTTTCAGGGGTTTGTGTGCACACCCACCCATATTGAGCCTTATATATTAAATGTTCAATGATTTTATGCTTGAAAGTAATTCATTTTTACTTTGTTCCTACTTAAACTATTAGCCTTTCTAAATGATACTAATAATGTGAAGTTTTTTCTGTTTTTTTTAATAAACATAAAATCTTTAAAAATTAATAAACTGCATTGTCTATTGGTTTATATATTTGTTCAGAATCTGAATACCTCTGATAGTAATAGTGAAAGTATGAAAAGGAAAACTTTACTACAACTGCTGTTTTCTCTCTTCTCTTTTGATTATACAATAAAGCAAGCAGCCATTTATTCAATTTCATTAATAGAGCTTGTAGTTTGATAAAAGAAAATGCCAGATAACCATAATTTTACTTCCAGTTTCCTTTTCCTTTATATTTTCTCCATTATGGCTATTGTTTATTAAATCCTTTCTGTCTGTCATGATACAAAACTGTTGTCAGGAAAGATTGCTAGCATGCAACTACACTGTGTGGTATGGTTGCTCCTTACTGCTACTCTCAGAACTAGGAAGAATGAAGACATTATTTTCTTTTAAATTTGAAAGGGTTCTGTAATGTTACTCTCTAAGTGATGTATATGAAGATGAGAAATGTTTCTTGTCTTTTTATGTGTATTCTTCACTTGATAGAGAGTGATGAAAAGATATTGATTCAGTATTGATTAGTTGCTTTATAAAGTGTATGCATGCGCACACACATACACAAAGGCACATTCAACTTGGATTTGATTTTGTTACTTTACCTGTTTCTCTTCTGCATGTTGGATGTATATGGATGCAGACATTGTATAGTGGCATACGGATAGTTGTGGAGGCTTGAGATTTACGTCATCAGTTGTGTGGACTTGTTTTGCTGCTTGTTTGATATACAGGTAGCTATCTTGGCTCAGTATTAGTGATTGTCACTGGTTGCAGAAATGCTACATAGTGCTCAAAAGAGAAACAGCAAGTGAAAGCTAAAAAAAATAATAATAATCTCCGTATGGATTTACCATGCAATTACCATTGCTTTTTTTAATTGAATATGAATTGTTTAATAACTATGAGCTTTGTCAGTAAGACTGATGAAACTTAGCAATATTCATAAAATGGAGGGAGTTTCCTTCAGCTGGCAAGTGACATGGCTGAAGTGTTAATCATTGAAGATGCTGTCAAGGTTGTTTGGCAAGAAATCAAAGACTAGGTCAGTTGCTTTTTGTTTCCAGTTTATATGATTTTGGTACAAATCAAGTGAAATGATAGCCCATTGTAACATGTTACCCTAAGTCCTTCTTTCAAGTTCAAGGTTATTTTGCTTTCTCTCCCTTCTTATTCATCTCCTGGTTCCTACCAATAATATTTATTGTTATCTATATATGTAACTAGTCCCAATAAACTAATGTAAACATTAATTAGCATATGCAAAATTATGCACTTCAGCAGTTTTCCATTGTTCCTATTGCCTGTTGCTTCAGTTTTCATAATGTTTCATTTGGTGCGTTTTGGTTAACAAATGATGTGTGGAGAAATCACTTAGGTATTTAATTTTTTTTCAGCTGACACACATCTAAACTATTAAAGTGATTTTCTAATTTTTATTAGCTGTTGATAATTAAAAAAAAATACCATGGATAACTTAAAGTTTTATTAAAATGAGATACTAACTGAGAAAGTAATGATACTACTTTGTTTAAAATATTCTTCTAACTTGAGCTTTTTACTTTTTAAATGTCAAAATGTTAAAAATTGTATGAACATTTTAGCTGGCTGCTCCAGCTTTATAGCTTTTAATGAAATTCATCTCAGTATTTTCTCTGCCGTGAGTATTTTGTTATCAGTTATCAAGAATAATAAAGACACAGCCATATTTCACTTTTTAAAAATACAAAAATTATTTTTATTTGAACTAAAATAAAATGTTACTTTTGCGTGATTCACAGGAACATACAATGTTGGTATATTATATCAGTCTGATGAATTTGCTTTTTCATAAATAAAAACCTACTCATTTTGCTGATAAAGCTAGTAAAATACCCATTTCAAACCATTTGTAGTCACCTTTTCAGAAAAGTGTTTTAAATTAAACAGGAATAAGAAAACCCCCCAAAACTTGCTTTGAATGGTTTTCAGGGAATTGGAAATTCATTGCTGTAACTTGTTTATGAAAGTTTGTGTAAACCTTGAGCAACTTATTTTGTGATTCAGTATTAAAAGGTTTTTTTATGTTCACTACTTTAGAAATTATAAACTAAGACACCACTGTAACTATTTGTTTACTTTAAAGATCTAATTCTTATTTATATGAAGTAGTTTTATGTTAGAGGCACTTAAAATGGACATACTGTCATATTGTGAATTTAATGATTATTTTTTTTTATATTATGCTTGAAAACTTCTTTTAAAGTAGAATTGCTAGAGAAAATATTAAAAAATATGTGTTTTCAAAAAGTTAATCACAAATGTATTTTACAATTTAACTTCATGCATGATGTGAATACTCATGCTTTGTTTATTTAATGAAAAAGTATCTTGTATAAACACTATTTTATCTACATATTCTACAAGAATGAGTTTTATAAACTTTTATAAAGTATGTCTTCAGAAATATAAGTGCTTAGTGCTTATACCAAATATTTGAAAATACATTTTCATTTTTTAAATAATTAATGTCCTTATATTTTTAAGTGTTTTGCATTTTAGTGTTTAGGTGGAATTGCTTTATCTTAGTTCTTTAATAAAAAGAAAAAGTTCTGTTTGTAAAGCCTTAATTCATAAATGTTATATAAGGAAATGTCTATGACAATTTGAATTATTGTTGTTAGTTGATTGCTTTCAATTTTTATTATTTATACAAGTATCGTAAATATATAGAACACTTGAATTTTATGAATAAAGATAGTATTAAACACCTGAAATTTTCTTTTTGTTACATTAAAATATGATAGTAGGCATTCATATAACTTTATTAATATTTATTATTGTTTTAAATATCTTAGATTTCTATATATTATAAATATAATTTATAAATTCAGTGAATATTATGCAAGTCTAATATGTAAGCACTATTTGTGCTTGCTAAAATTTCAAAATGGCATATACTATATATTAAAAACCTGAAACTTTTAGAGAATATAGACTTTTAGTTTTTAATTGAAATGTTTCAAGGATTTTAATTGGTGATTTAAGTTTCCCATTGAATTTGGGCATGCATCAGAATTGTATGTATTATATATTTTTTGCTAAGAGCAAGCATGTGGCTTTTTATACAGAATGATAAAAAGCCCATTTTTAGTCAAATAAAAAAGCTTAAAAATTTCCACATATCAAACTTGATTCAAAACTAGAGTTTCACTCTTTAAACAACTTTGAGTTTGAAACAGTTTGTTTAAAATCTTAAGTCATTTGAATTATTATGCATGAAATATTTTTAGTATAAATCTTGAGGAGGATAGTAATTCTGGATATTGTTGTAGAATAAGTTTGTATAGTGAAGTTGAGAGCATGATGTAGATAGCTTAGAATAAAACTGATTTGCTTATACCAAATATAATGCCAGGTATGTACCTTAGTGTAACCCATTTAGTTTTTAGGCAAATGCTTTTTATTTCTTTAAGTCAGTATTTTGTATATTTATTCATTTTATGCAGTTTTTTGAATTCTTTATATCTTTTTAATTTCAGGTTAAACATTTAGTAACTGTATATAATCTTCATTGATTTTATCATGAACAGCAATAATTAAAGATTTAACAATAAAAAATTATTCTATCAATGAGATGCTTATCAAGAAAAAAATTAAGTAGATGACTTATTTTTCTATTTTAGTGGGAAAATTTACAGAATATTTGTTTAACTAACTCTTTTCATTAATTGTGAGCTGTATTGCAAGTTTATTTTCAGTCAAGCTTTCATATCTTCCTTAAAAAAATATTGGTAAGTCCAGTCTTATTACTATTTTAGCAATAAATATAATGCCATTTATTTAAGTATAAATAAAATGCATATTTTATTGTGCAGTTAATCTTTTGTTTAGAAAGAAAATGAGAAAGAAGTCTAGTAGTCCAAGCACTAATTTATTAAATTTTAATTTTTTGGCTAAAATAGTATTTTTCTATAGGAATGAATGGGAAGAACATTTAAAATTGAATTATGGAAACGAGTGTAAAGGGAATAATAGGTATGAAGGTGATAATAAAGAGACTTGAACTGATTGAAAGATGAATGATTTAGTGAATATTAGGAAAAGTAAACAAGCATGTTTACATTTTGTGTGGTGAACCAATGTCTGTGCTGCTTTCTTTTTCTTTTTTCCTTAAAGTCGATGGTCTAAATCATTTTGACAAATATTTTGAAAAGAAATCTTACATCATTTACTCATATTAGAAAAATGTTTTTTGTGTGTGCTATTAATCTCAGTACTATCTTCAGAAAAGTGATAAAGGACTAAAGAAGGAAGGAAATGCGATTTCTCTGTCTCTTTTTCTCTCTCTCTCTCTCTCTCTTCTCTCTTTTCAATTCTTCGGCATGTTCATGTGAGTATACTAGAATGTATTTTTAAATAATCAGTTCATAAAATTCATTGGAAATGATAAGAAACTGACAGAGATGCATGGTGATCATTCAGTAAGACTATGATTATTAAAATTATATATTTTTATTTTCAAGTAATTTATGACACCCTCACCCCTTCTCCAAATTGAAAATCTGGGACTAACATGATAAATAATTACAGATAAAAAAAAATCTATAAAATATTGTGAATTTTGATCAAATTTATTCTGTGGTAAGGTTTTGCATACTGAAAAGTTTTATTTTTGTAAGGGCTTGTTCAGGCTAAAAACTTTTTGGCACTCCCTCATATAAGCAACTTTTAAAAAAATATTCTCTTGCCTTGTACTATTATAAATACTAGTTATTGATTGATAATATTCTTGTAATTAGATATTGATTAAAAAAACTGCTTATTTAAGTTGAAACTTATCCAATTTAATAATTATTTCAGATTTTTTGTTTTTAATGGGAAAAGTTCAAATGTCAAATAAATTGGTTTGTTTTTAGAATTCTGAATAATGTTGATATGAATTGATCTGATAAGCACACAATGGTGCTGCTGCCAACTGATCTGTGTGAATTGAAAACACTGGTAATTATATGTAATATGAATTTGTTTACAAAAGTTTATAGACTATGTCAATTGATTAAGAAATAAATTTGTTCAAATAATATAACTAAAATTTTTAATAAAAATGCTTTTAGATACTTGGAAACCTGTTTGAAATTCCCTGTTTTTGATTACTCTTCTTCCACCCCCACAAATTATCCTTGTAAAAATACACAACAATGCTGTCGTTATATTCTTTATTGATTTGCAGTATTACTTAAATTCATTACATACATATATAAAGCCTATAGTTTCATGAAATGGAAAATTGTAATTATAATATAATTAAAGTTCTTAAGTATTACTGACAAATCTTTTATATCTTTTATTTTATCCAACCACATAACGCAAAGCTGTATGAACTTGAAAGTCTTCTCATGAGCAAACTATATAAGCAGTAGAAATGAAATTCATAACTTTTAAAAATATATCATTATCATGAAAAATGATTTGATATAAAAATACTATATTACATATGTTTTAATATTAGTTTTTCCAAATGTTTTTCCCTTTTTTACTGCTTTTTATTAGCTTCTGCCATTAAATTGTGAGAATTGAAAATAAATGTTGCTTCCTCAGAGCTATATAATTTTCATACCTTGAAATGTCGTTATTCAACTTTATACTGAGAAAGTTGTTACCATAAGACAGGATTCTCATCCCTAATCTTTCTACTGCTGTTTTTTTTTTCTTACTTTCTTTATTCTATGCAATATTAATGACTTATCTAGTAGTAATTGTAATAGTTGTCTTAAGTTGTTATAAGATTGTGATGAAATATTTTATTACATATATTATAAGCTTTGATTAGATTTTATATTACTTTTTGTTACTTTTATAACACCATTTTTAGTTTTTTCTTTTTCAGATATTGAAATGTAATAGAAAGCAACTGATCATTAATAAAAATAAATATGTAAAATCAATTTAAGCATATTAAAAATATTTTATTCATGAGAAGTATCTTTCCAAGATAGGCTTGTAGAAATGAGAATAGTTATTAATTGTAACTCTGATTAAATGCAATCAAGATTCTTTAAATGC